CCCATTTAGTAGGCTTCCGTTTTGTTTTATTGATGGTTTCTTTTGTTGTGAAAAAACTTTTAAGTTTGATGTAGTCCCATATGAAATGAGCATTCTACGTGCTGTTAGTGAAATTGCAATCTGATACACTTCTTTAGGGAAAACAATTAAGTAATACATAACACACACATAACTTTTAACTTTTCCTCTTTCTTTGATCAAAAAAATTCATTTGTAAGCAATCTTAAATGATCATTTTAAGTTATCCTTTAAGATTGCTTACAAATGAATTTTTTTGATCAAAGAAAGAGGAAAAGTTAAAAGTTATGTGTGTGTTATGTATTACTTAATTGTTTTCCCTAAAGAAGTGTATCAGATTGCAATTTCACTAACAGCACGTAGAATGCTCATTTCATAGCATTCTTGCCAACAATAATTGCAGAAACTAAAAATTCACTGCCCATTTGATAGGCAATATGGATCAGGGTTATTTTAATTAGCATTTCTTTGAATAACAATGAGATTAAACTGTTTTTTCTTATATTTGTCTATTTTTGTTTCTACTTTTATGAATAGATGATTTCTTCTTTTCCTTATTTTTCTATTAGGGCATAAATAGCTTTATTGATTAAAAAATATTTATATCTGAAGATCTCAATCCTTGTCTTATGTACTGCAAAGAATTAAGATAAATTTATAAATAATAAAAAGTAAAAATTATCGCTGAAGATAATTAAGTCCTGGAAAATATTCCCAAGAGCAGTTCCTCCTCTTCTCAGTTTTCATAAGGAGACACCACAAACACACATATCCCTAACAGATCTAAATTATAAAATCAGAGAATTGGAAGCAGTAGAATGGAGTCAAAGACATTTTATAAATCCTCCTAATTCTATGAACAAAACTAGGAGGAAGAGAAAGGCAAAACATGTTTGATGTTATTATAAAGATAACATTCACTGTGTTGATTGTGATGTGTGATAAAGTAAATATAGCAAAATGTCAATCATAGAGTCTAGATGGTGAGTAGATGGATATATGAATGTTCACTGTATAATTCTTTACATTTTATGCATATTTGAAAGTTTTTATACTAAAATATTGAGGAAAAGAGTAAAATTTACCTTCTACACGAATACATCTCCATGTTTGTGCTATCAGCTGGGCTAATGTTGACTTTCCAACTCCCTTAAAAAAGAAAGATGTTATTTAAAACCCAATAAAACAGCTATTTGCCAGTGAAACACATATTCTCATTTTTAAAGACTCTATTGATGGATACAATATTATCAAGTAAATTCTTCCCCACAAAATAAAGAGTAGACCCTAGATAATTATAGCTTCATTTTCCTCTACTAATTGTTGCATTTGCCACATTTTATGAAATGATTTAAATAATTTTTTAAATTAAGAAAATAGCCCTGAAACCAAGAAGCTGTACCAAAATAGTATGTCAAGTATTATATACTTTTGATTGTCAAATTTTGTAATTTTGAACACAAACTATTGTGATTATATTGAGATTCATCATTTCATTTACTTTCTAAAGTTTATAATCATGAATGTTTTAGCAGACTTCCATTTATTAACTTTCAAGAGCAAAATAGTGCTTAATGGACATCTCTGAAAAGTATCATATTTTAAAGATAAAAGATCACTTTAATGATATAAATTTGCATGATTGCTTTCACTGTTGATTTCTTAAACTCTATTATGTTTTTACAAACATAATAAAAGTTATTGGAACCATTTCTTGGTATCTGTCCCAGAGTCCATATAAAATTAAGTTAAGTAGAGGATCCAGCCTTTAGTCTCTGCCGATCTGGAAAGACTCTTTAATTAAGCAGTTCAGCCCCTCTAATGGTAACTACCAACTAGCGCTCTGGCTGAAAATAGCTCTTATCTAGAGGTCCTTACTAGAACTACCTAGAAAGACAAGCTATCTTACAACAACCATTTTTGCTTTCTTCCTGTTTTGTGGAAAGACAATACATAGATTCACTAACAGACTATGTGCAAAGGTGAGGCACCTTACATCTCAGTAGCTTCAGACATTCATGGGAGAACCTCTGATTTGTCCCTATAGTGTGCTACCTTCATATATCCAGAAAACCTCGCAATAAATCCTACAGAAAGTTTTATATGCAAATTCAGTCTGGAATAACCTTGGATCACATACTGCTAACAATTGTCATGGTATAGTGCTTTGATGAGTTAATTTCCTCATAATATAAAACCAAAGATAAATACAATCTAGGTTCCTTTTCAATTATAGTGTACAAGAAAGTTATAAATTTATAGCCAATATTATATCAGAATTTAAGTTAATAATGAAAGTCTAACAAACACTCAAAAAAATTAGCACACTGTGGTTTTCATTCTTGCATGGTAATATAAGATTATGATTTTAAAAATAAAAATTATATTAAATAAGTTAGAAGAGGTAACTTACTGGTTTCCCAAATACAACAAAGCAAACAGGTTTAGACAACATAAAGTCTTTTTCAGCTTCATCTTCATTAAATATATCCACAAAAGGATGCTCTTCTATCTTCTCTTGAGAAGTCATAATACAAAATACTACAATAAGAAAGAGTAAGATTGTTAAAGCACCTAATTTAGCTGGAAAAGATAGTCAGGATAGGGAGAACTAGAAAATTCTGTGAAATTACTTAGCCCAGAAGTTATTTCACACCACTAAACATATGGATTTTGCCAATAATTGCAAAAGCTTAGCAGCTCATCTGACAATATTAGATATAGAAAAGAGAAAGGACTAGAGAAATAATAATGCTGCAGCTATAGATAAGAGGATATAATAAACAAAGTTATCCAAAATAAATTTGAAAACTTAAACAAAATTGATAAATTCCTAGAAAAATCAGCTTCTCAAGAAAAAAAAAGAAAACCTGGCTGGTTTCATAACCATTAAGGAAACAATCAAGAGCTAAAAATCTTCCCACAGAAAAACCAGATGGTTTTATGAAAAGCTCTATGTCTTACAATCTTACAAAGTTTCTTTCAGAGAAAAAATCAAGTGTAGACTTTCTACATACATTTCTGGGTCTCATATAACCTCCATACTTAAACCAGAGAAGAGTGTGAAAAAGCAAATTATGCACCAATTTCATTCATGAACAAGATTTAAAAATCCTAATAAAAATGTTAGCAAATTGGGGCCGGCTGAGTGGTGCGTTGGTTACGAGCTGTCTTGGGATGCCAGAGGACCCCGGTTCGGATCCCACATATGAGGGCCAGTGACACTGTCCTCTGCAGCTAAGATGCTGAACAACAGCTCAACCTGGAGCTGGGCTGCCGAGAGTCGCCAGCGGCGGCAGGTGGGTTGCCATGGGCTACCGTATGTAGCCAGCAGCCAGCGTGAGCAGCCAGCAGCCGCTGTGAGCGGCAGTCCAGAAGCCGGCGACTGATCTGCCTCGCCTGGGAAGAGCACAATGATGGTGCCAACTTGGGCCAGTGAAGGAACGTCCTCCACAACTAGACTGAAGAACAAAAGGACAGCAACTTGTCTGTTCCCCTTCCCCCAATTCCCCAATAAAAATCTTAAAAAAAAAAAAAAGTTAGCAAATTGAATCCAGTAATATATAGAAAAGATAACAACATCATGATCAAGTTGGGTTTTCCTCAGGAATTCAAGGCTGGTTCAATAGAGAAAATTAATTTATATTAAAATAAATTAAAGGAGAAAAACTATATGATCATCTTAACTGAAAAGTGTAAGAAACAATTCAATACCTTTTAGTGATTAATAGAAGAAAAACCTCTTAGCAACTAGGGATAGAATTTCTTTAACCCGATAAAGGATATGAACAAAAGACAGACATTATATTTCATAATAAAATATTCAATATGTTCCTTTTAAAGTCATAACAAGATTAAAAAAAAGAAAACTGTACTTATTCCCAGTTGATACTATTACCTACATAGAAGACAATCGCAGATACATTTTAAGTTAATGAGATAATCCAATTTGCTGGGTTCAAAATCATTATATAAAATTCAATTGCATTTCTATACACCAAAAAATAGATAGGAAATGTAACCAAAGATAAATATGACTTACCTTAACATCAAAAATATAAAATAACTAGGGTTAAATGTAACAAAAGATATATAAGCCCTTTATGGAAAAATTACAAAGCCTTATAAAAAGACTTTAATAAACAGACTTCAAAAATGGAACAAAACTATGTCCCAGTAGTCTGGGGCACTGTTCATGGAACAATAAAAATGGATTGAGGGGGGGAAAAAATGGATTGAGAGGATATACACTTTCAGGTAAATGGGCTTGAATATACAAATGTTATTTTAAAATGTCATTATGAAACAAGACATAGTAAGAAATATTACTAGTATATTAGAAAGATTTGAGATGAAGACTTCATGAACTAAAGGACTGAATTTATTTATTTATTTATTTATTTATTTATTTTTAGCTGAGCCATCCTGCCACCTGTTGGCAGCTCAGAGGCAGCTCAGCTTGGGCTGGGAATCGAACTGACGACCTTGTTGCTCAGAGTTCACACCCTTGAGCGAGCTCTTAACCAACTGAGCCACTTGGCTGGCCCTTAAGTATTTTTAACACCAAAAATAAGTACTACTACTATAAAATGTATTTATAAAGGGGAAAATGCATCTAAATGTTTTAGAGAGATACTACATTTATTTAAAAGTCTCTATTATGTACTAAAACCAGGGCTGTAAGGCTTGGGATGGGGCTATCGAGGTGGATGTCTAAGCGCCTTACACCCCCAAATTACCATGAATGCTCTGCATTACCAGAAGTAGCCCCCTCCTCATTTCTGGAAGATAGCAGTCTTTTCTTGCCTGGTTTGAGGCAGTTGCCTCAGAAGACAATGCTTGCCCTCTATAAGATCTGCCTTCACCTTCCCTCAGAGCTTCTAGAGAAATAACTGGGGTCAAGTGTCAGCCCAGCCCAACTAGGGAGGCACTGGTGCAGGAAGAAAGGTATTAGGCACCGAAAGAGCTGAAGGGCCTGGCTATGATGTACCAACGGGAACCGGGAGAATGTGCCTGGGAGATCTTGAGGGTGCTGGGTAGCGGAATGCAGGCTGGATAAGTGTTTACTGATATGTGGGCTCTCTCCCATGACTCATGCTTTAACATCCTGGCTAGGACACCTGGAACAGGTCCTAATTCACTTGGTCAAGGGCCTGGAAGGAGCAAGATTGGGAGATAAGAGAAAAAGAGTTTGGGGGAAGAAGCCTGTAAATGGACCTACAAAAGTGCTGTAGAGAACATACTTTAAGGTGACCCCTCTGAGTCACACCGTTGTGTAATTCTCTTCCTTTGAGTGCAGGTGGAGTGTCATTCCCATAACATTACATTATAGAAGACTCCATCTTAGTAGACTGGAGAGAGACTCCCTGGTTGGATCTAAAGAAGTAAGTTGCCATGTTGTGAAAGGACCATATGGCATGGAACAGTGGGTGGCCTCCAGAAGCTGTGAGCAGCCGCTGGCCAACAGCTAGTAAAACTGGGACCTCAGTCCTACAACCACAAAGAGATGAATTTTGCCAACAATATGAACTTGGAAGTGGCGTCTTTCCTAGTCGGGCCTCCAGATGAAAATGCAACCCTGTCAACACCTTGACTGCAGCCTTGTGAGACCCTGAGCAGCGGACCCAGCTAAGCTATGCCAGGACTCCTGGACATGGAAACTGTGAGAAAATAAATGTGTGTTGTTTTAAGCTGCTACATTTTTGGTAATTTGTTATGCAACATAGAAAATACAAGTGGACACAAAATATGTGGATCTTTGTTTCTCACAAAGTATCCATCTCAGAAGAGGCACTCATTAACCAAGCTGATTATCCAGTAGATGCCAACGAGACTTTGTCGTCGGTCACCTCGGTGCCTGACTAATGGGCTCATAAATGGAGTAGGCATGGTGGCAGGGATGGAGGCAATGGAGGCTATGCTATACATGGGCTCCTCCTCTCATAAGGCTGATCCAACTACCACCACTACTGGATGTCCTACTTGTCCACAGCAAAGACTGAGAGGATGAGCCCTCAATATGGTACATTCATTCAGTGACAAATTGATTACACAGGACCCCTTCACCTTGGAGAGGGCAGCAGGTTACATGTGTTCCTACTATGGGTTTGCCTTCCCTACCTGCAGTGCCTTGGCCAGCAGCACTTTCTGAGGGGTTGGAGTTGTCTTATTTATCATGGGATCCCATATTTTATTGCTTTGGATCAAAAGACCTTCTTTACAGTAAAGGAGAGATGATAAGAGAGATCCACTGATCTAACCACGTACCACTTCACCTAGAGGCTGCTGGTCAAACAGAATGCTGAAATGGCCTCTTAATGGTACTGCTAAAGCACCAGTTTGGGATTTGGACACTGCACTTCAAGATGAGGAATATGCTTTGAACCAAGTGTTTGGCAGAAATGGCCCCTCCCACCATCACTCTCAATGATTGACTGGAGAAATTTATACCACCCTTCCTCACAACTTGACTCTCTGCTGGACTGGAGATCCTGGTTTTTATTGAGAGATGCTTCTAGCAGGGGACCCACTTAATTAGGTTTCACTAAAGCTGAAACTGCTGTTGCTATCTGGTCTTGTTTGATGCCACTTGCCCTTAAAAAGAATTATTGCACTGGCAGGTGGAGGGTAGGGTTGCTGCTACATAATTGGGGCAGGGAGATGTATGTCTTAAGCTCGGGATTCTCTGAGACTCGTCTTGATGCTTTCATGTCCAGTGAATGGATAATTGTACCAATCACAACCTGATAAGGAGATGGTAACCAGGTGCTGACACCACTCAGGGATGAAGGCTGGTTACTCTACTGAGAAAACAATTTTGGCCAGAAGTGCTGGCCTAGGATAAGGGAAATTTAGAATGGGTGGTAAAGGAGGGAAGTAATGAATTGTGTTACAGATCTAGCTAGGATTAATTGTGTAGTGGATTCTGTAGCTTGTCTTACTAATCATATATTTGTGAGTCCTCTTCTTTTAGAAATTGGGACCGGACACCACCTTGAAAAATCAGTGATGGATGGTGTGAACCTAATATGGGGAAGGAGTGCATATGAGTGGTGCAAAGGTTGGGACAGAGATGTTATTAGTGCCCTGCCCATATCTACTTGACATACACCTTTTCCATGCATGGCCAGCCCAACTTCCAACTGCTGGCATGTGTGATTCTTTGCCTCTTTCTGGCTGCCAGAAACCACTCTGCCTGAGCACAGTGCAGGCTGAAGTTCCAGGGAATTCATGTTCTGCCATTGCAGGCCTCAACCAATAACTGGTAGGGGTTGGTGAATAAATACCCCAGGTTCCTTGCCCCTTAAGAGGAAATAACTGACACATACATCCAAGTATTCCCCAGTAAATTCAGCCCACAAAGAAGTGTGCTTGATAATATTCCCTTCAGTAGCTTCCTTCCCTTCCCTGCTGTTGTTCACTAGATTGCCCATATAAACCATTTCTCTTCAATTTTTTTGTCTCAGGATCTGCTTCTGGGTGAACCAAACTAAGACAAGATTCAAATGGAAGTACTTAATTATAGTATAATATAATATTTCAAAACTAAATATTGGAGAACCAGAATTCTACAGATATTTTAAGAATTGTTATCCTAAATCAAAACATTGTGCAAATATTTAACTCATGGTCAGAACAGCTGGTTTCCATTATGAAATGGAACAGGACTAAATATTTTTCCCCAGTTAAAAGTCAATGCAAAATGCCCAGAACTGACATGGTCACCTTTCTTAATAAAAGGAGTACCAAACTGTGAAAGAAAATTTAACATAATTATTTTTAAAGTTTTGTAATTTCTCCATTTTGAATTTACAGTATTATATCTAATAACACATTGTTATATAATCTATAATATTACATTTTTATGTGTTTATACTATAATTTAATACAAATTTTTAAAATTTCCTTACATTTTTAGCAATTGAAAAACCCTCTAGCAGTGGGTTTTGAGCAGTTTACAAGGGAGCTCAGCTCCTGGGAAACCTAGCACTCTGCCTAGGCTGTGTTAGCTGCCAGTCTAGTACATCTTACGCTCTCACAGTAGGTGCTCAGTAAATATCTGTGGAATGAAAACATTAGTCACTGAAAAGGTAAGTGATTTTAAAAAGCAGAATTTACGCATATCTCGAAGTTTAGTTTTGCAAGAAAAGAAACTGATCTGGGGTCCCTGCAAGAGGTGGGATTCCCCTCAATCTATCCCAAAATGCATCCGGGCAGTGCACTAAGACCCCCTACTTACCTGATCGCAGCGAACCCCAGCGGACCCCACTGACCAGCGGCAGCCGCCTCCGGGGACTCTCGGATTTGTTTAGCGGTTGCCGAGGGAACTTCTGGTGGTGCTGCGCGCAGGGCCTCTTGGGGTGAGGTGGGAGCGGGGGCGGGGCCTTAACGGGGGAGCTTAAAATAAGAAAAAAAATGTTTTCTTAATTTAAATATTCACTTCTTTTGTATTCATAATTATATTAATAAATACCTAATTTTGTATTCATCATTATAATGCAATGCTTATTCACAAAGATGGAAGGCGACAGAGAGGGTAGGTACATGCATTGCCCATTTACGTTCACACACATCAAATGGAAAAACACTTATTTTAACGCAGAACTGCCTGACTCCAAAGCCAGTGTTACAGTACACTGCACTACACTACGCTCGAGAGTTTACTTGTAGAATTTACAAATGGTTAGCCTCAGGCACAAATACGTGGCAAAGTCCAAAATTTCCAACTTCGGGTGATTTAAAAAAAATTCCTTGAACTACACACCCTCCAGACGATATGGATTTTGTGACTCTCGTAAGCGTAAAACAGACAACAAGGAGACGTGAGGGGAAAACACCGATAACTCAGTAAAGTACCATCACAAAGTAGGTTTCCAGGAAAATAAAGGCAGAAGTAGGGAAAAAAACAGACCGACTTGGGAATGGATCTGTCTGCAACTCAGAGAAGCACTTCAAAAGAAGTAATACAGTCCCAAATCTACCCCTTTTCCAAACAGAAGGATCAAATAAAGGAGACACTTAATTAACCTGCTACCTTTTCTCTGCTGTTTTTTTTTCTCCTGCCCGCACTAAAAATGGCGCCCTTCGCTTCCTTCCTCGTCAGTGCGCAGGTTCTGGGAACCTCTACCCTACCTCTCTGTGGTATATCCTCCAGCCCCGCCCTACTGGGCGGGGCTTTCCTGGAGGTGGGGCGTCGGGATCCGGAAACACCTGAGCTGTTGCGGGTCATCTGTATCTTTATCTTGAACGCCCAGGAGGTGTTTTTCCTGGCTGGATCTGGTGTCCAGGGTCTGAGGTGTCTTTTCTCTAGGTCTCCTTGGGCAATCGGAGGCTGCCGCAACCTGGGCCGAGCCGCCTGGTGCCCTCTCGTGGGGCCCCCCATTTGCTCGGGCCATGCCCACGGCCGCCGCTCCCATCATCAGCTCGGTCCAGAAGCTGGTTCTGTATGAGACCAGAGCTGTGAGTACCCGACGCGGCGGGGTGCAGCCGAGAGGATGGCGGGCGAGTGGGTACGGGGCCGTAGGGCAGAGGCAGCATACCCCTCCACCCCATCCCCCAGTTCCCTAATCCCAGCCTTGGGGAATGTGCCTGAGTGGGCTTTGCCCTGCTATCGCACCCAGGACACTGGTGCTTTTGCTGTACATATTTCCACTTAAAAGCCACGGTTGGCACACGCTGGAAACAGGTGCTTGTGGTATGTCAGAAACTGTTCATGAGGTTCTGTAGGAGTTACTGGATTCTTTTCAACTTTCAGAAAGTTTGTTAGAGTTCTACGGTTCACTAGTTACAGTACAGGCATGGGTATGAAAAAATATTTTTGACCCATGAATCGGTAACTTGCCTGTTTTACTGTTCCGTGGCATACCATCACTGTGATCAATGTTAATTACCAGTAGTTTTATTGCTGAAATGTTTGGTTTTCTTTATTTGAAAGGAAAGAAAAACTTCTTTTGTTTAAATACAGATGATTTGATTGGATAAAATTATTTTGCTTTTCACTTGACTTTTTTCCCAACACATGTCTTCTGTTTTATTATTTCACATGACCATGTAAATAATAGTTACTAGCCCAATAAGCAGATCAGTTTTTATGTTTAGGTTACTAGTTACCTAAAATTTAGGGAATGGTGTTTATAGAAGTACAGTACATATTTTGTCATTTGTGTGGTTGGAAAATAAAGTATAGCTTTTCTAAATTGGGGTATTAGGCTCTGTGTTTAAAATTGTACGTCATGATAACAAGATTGCATATGCTGGAAGCCTGCGTAATACTCTTCCTTATGCTATGGCGTATCTTATAAGGCACATTCGGTGGAACTTGGGTTGTCTTCATTAGATAGAGGAGTACAAGAAGGTCCTTAGCTTAATAGTTTCTCAGTTATAACATGGTCCTAATAGCATGTCTGCCTCAGGGCATCATTAGTGTAGAACATTGTTGACCCTAAGTTAATTTTACTAACAAATTCATTTGATTAGATCCAGACCAGAAGATGAAATTATTTAATATATTGTATTTGCAAATATCTTTGGTTTTTCTCTGAGGAGAGTCATACAGAAGTATCATTTTGACATGAAAGCAAAACCTGCTTTCTGTACAATATGCTGGTAAATGTTCCTAGTTAGGAGCATAGATACTATATTGAAAACACAGAAATTTCAGCTCATTAATAAGCTGAGCATTCATGAGGACTGAATGAGATATGTTCTTTCTAAAGCACAATTCATACAGGGCTCTTCTGCTCAGAAACCTTCAGTGGCCCCCATTTTGAGGAGAGTAAATGCTGATTCCCTTAGTTTGACATTCAAAGCCATATACGATTGGTCGTCAATTTGTCTCTCTGGTCTTATATCTAATTGAATATCAATTCAGCAAACACTTATTGAGAATTAACTGTGTGCTTGTATGTGCTTTATTCTGCAGCAAAATTGTATTTCTTTCAGTTTCTTATATATCGGTGTTCTCTCTCCTTGTAATGTCCCACCCCTTCTCCTGTCAAAATCTTGCTAGTCCTCATAGCACAGATCTGGTACATTGCTTTGTAAACAGCAGGCTCTCAATAGTTGCTGGTGGACGGGACTTAACACAAAGAGATTTGTGTTCTAGAACTCAGCTGTGACGCCTCAGTCATCTAAGTAGTAGAAACTAACTCTAGCCAGCTTAGAGATAAAAGGCAAAATTATCACAAAGATGCTGGAGGAGCCATCGCATAGAAGAATCATGGAGGAGTGTAACTCCCCAACCTGTGGGAAGACAGAGAAACAAGACAGCAGGGTCTGAGAACCCTCTCAGAGTGCTGCCAAGGGCAGAGCGTAGTGCTGGCAGAAGGAATCTGATTGATTCATCTATGATTGGGAATCTGCTCGCTGGTGGACAAACCATCTTCGCCAGGAAGAGTCTGGCAGTAATGACTTGTCTATGGAATCACCCCTTTGTTTCAGGGAATGGTTGGGCCAGGCAACCACCTGAGACATGTCTGCTGCGTTTAATCTTTGAACTTCAGTTTCCTCATTAGTACAGTAGATGAATTTTTGACTTAAGCAAAGATATAAGCAAAAGATTTTTTTGAGCAATAAGCTCAAAGTTGAAGGGACATGAATAACTCAAAAAAAGGCATGAAATTAATGGCAACTAAGTAGATCCTAGGAATTAAAAAAACTAACTGTATAGCAGGTTGTATTAATGAGAATTATTGCTAATGCTCATAGAGCACTTCTATGCTGGGCACTCTACATAGATTTTATTATTTAATCCTCATAAAACCTCTAAGAGGTAAATGTTGTTACACTACCACTGCTATTATTATTTGGTGAAGAAAAAAATGAGGCAAAGAGAGATTAGGACAGTGCTACTTAGAGTGGTCGGGAACGGTTGCTAGGCATAGTTTGTAACTGGACTATGATAAACTATAGAAATTGAGAGTAAATGATTATAAACTTTTATAGCAGTTTGATAGAATAATTATATTTCTGATGAATCAGGTAATTTAGATCATTTGGTTTATGTTTTATCCTTTTTGTTTTTAGCTTTTTTATTATGGAAATTTTCAAGCATACATTATACAAAGTAAATAGAATGATATAGTAAACTCCATATATCCATCACCCAGATTCAAAATTACCAACATTCTGTCATCTTTTATTATCTATAACTTGTTCCATTCTCTACCTACCACTTTGCTATATTATTGTTTTCATTCATTGCTAGATTTTGTTTGCTAATATTTTGTTAAGGATTTTTATGTTTATGTTCAGGATATTGGTCTGTCATTTTGACATCTTTGCCTGATTTTGATATCAAGGTAACTCTGGCCTTATAAAATGAGTTGAGAAGTGTTCCTTCTTTTATTTTCTGAAAGTGGTTGTATAAAATTACTATTGTTTCTTTCTTTAAATGTTTGCCAGAATTTACTACTGAAAGCATTTGAGCTTGGAGTTGCTTTGTGGGGCAAATTTTAATAATGAATCAATTTCTATAGCAGATATAGGACTATGCAGATTTTTAATGGGTCTTGAGTCAGTTCTGATAAATTGTGTTTTTCAAGAAATTTATTTCATCTTAATTGTTGAATTTATTGTCATCAAGTTGTTCATAATATTTCCTTATTGACCTTGGGATGTCTCTAAGATTTGTAGTGAAACTCTCTCTTTCATTTCTGATATTGGTTCTCTCATTTTTTCTTGATCCATGATGCTAGGTGTTTATCAATTTTATTACACTTTTGAAAGAACCAACTTTTGACTTGGTTAATTTTTTCTGTTGTTTGTTTTCTATTTAATCAATTTCTGCTCTTAAGTTTATATTTCTTCCACTTACGAATTTTGGATTAATCAGTTCACCTTTTTCTAGCTTTATAAGGTAGACATTTAGATCATTGACTTAATTTTTTTTATTTTCTAATAGAGAACATTTAAAAATATTAATGTAAATAGAAAAATAGTCAGAAGATTATGGAGAAAGTATTAGTAGCCTGAACAATGGGTAAAGTAGTATATTCTTATATCCAAAAAAATGTATAGATTACCCTGCAAAATAAAACACCAGACAAAAAAGAACAAGGACATGAATAGGTAATTAGCCAAAAAGAAGTATTAATATGAAAAGATATTCAACTTGCTATTAATGAAGGCAATACAATGAAAGTATAGATTCCCATTTTTCACCTGTCAGAATGGCAAAGATTGACCAAAGTCGTTGTTGGCAAGTATGTGAAAGAAATGGCATTCTTGTTTGGGTTTCTGGGAGTGTATTAATTAGTTATGAAGGAATTAGGGGACACATCAAGGAACAAAAGAGACATTGGGCAAGATCAGTGGCTCTTGTCCTGAGTCTGCATTTAGAAGGATAGTTGAGTATAATTGCTCCTTAGGTGAAGTTCAGGCTGTCTTTGTTACCTGTGTTTAGAGGGGAAGTTTGAGGACTATTTAGAGAGGAAAGGGAGGCAGGTAGCATGCAGGAAGTGTAGCTGAGGCCTTGTGAAGGGTCTGCTCCCTCCCAGTCTTACCTGTTCTCCCTGGCACCCAGCACCTTCGTGCTGCCCTTTGGCTTTTGCAGCCCTGCTCTGGTCCTTATCTGCCCTGTGCCCCAGGCCTACAGATAAGCTAAGGCCAGATCCGTCCCTAGCGTTTATACAAACCATTGCAACTAGGAGTTTCACACAGGAGTTAGTTTCAGCAACCTCAAATTTTCCTGGGTGAAACTGCAATTTACCTTAGATGATTTACAATTTATAGCCCTTGCTTAATGTATGATGCCCTAGGGGTCTTACCATTGTAATAAGTGACCATTTCCTAACAAAGAAATGAGAGCATAGCAGTTGACTTTAAAATTGGTAGCTGAATAGAGCTGTGGCAGGTTATTGTGTTTGCATGTGTGCTTTGTGGGGTGATGTTGTTAGCATCATCTTTACTCTTGCTAGCTCACAATTGTTTGTATGTATGTGGGTAGGTAGGTAGGTATATGTTTATTTAATTCCTGCCTTGTTCCAAAAGGATTTAAGGAAGCTTCTCCCTCCTTCTCACCCGGTCATACAAAATAGTATAAAGTAAGTAAGAACCACCTCATGAGGAAGGCAGCTTACTTAATTAGCCTGGATATTAGCTTTGATTTGTGTAATTAGGGAATGGAAGAGAACAATATAGGATGTGGTTGGCTAAGGGGTTGGAGCAGGGAACCAAATGATAGAAAGGAGGAGAGAGAAGCATAGCTGATTTGGAAGGTGTGGTTGGAGGTGCCAGAGTTTCACACTTGTCTCTACAGGGGATTTGAAGCTTCCCCATTAGTAAAGCTCTAAATCTATAAAGAGCCGACTTGGAGACATCCCTTTTGACTATCAGGGGCCCATTTCCTTTCTGGGCTGCATTACTGATTGTGGGATTACTGGGATAAATGAGGAGGCAGGTCTGCAATAGCGAGAAGTAACTTCATGGTGATCTTTAAAAAGAATACCTTTATTCTGAAA